GGCGCAGGCCGCGGGCTTCTCTCGCAGCGGTGCCGGACGAAGGCCGAGCTGGCCGCTCCTCCAGCCCAAGCCCCTCACCGCCTGGCCAGGGAAGCCGGCGCACCTCATGCCGCTGTTTGCGTCTGGACGTGACAGCGGAGGCAGCTGTCGGTGTCCGCTTTTAGGACTTGAAACTCTCAGCTCGGGTTCTTAGTTAGAAGGAGCGCTGAGTGAGGCGCTGACTGCGGGCTTCGGCCTCTGCCCTGCGGTGCCCGTGCTTTTGCCATTATGATTTGGCAGGAAAATTTTTCTGTGGTGTTGGGCTTCCTATGCACGCACGCATTTTTATTTCAAAACAGCAGGCCGGTTTGCTGGGCGCTCTGAGGGTGTGCCTGATAAGGAAAACAACACTTGTCCATGTTGTGCAACTGAAATGCAGATTGAGCTTTGTAGATGAACTCATCATTCTTCTAAGCAAACTCTGGGATAATTTTTTTCAGTTACATAGAATGCGGATAACCTTAACTTTCCAGTAATTGTATATTCACTTTGTGTGTTTCAACTGTATTAGTGTGCTTTGCAGTATTTAAGCTCTTGCTGTTTTGGTGTTGGGCATCATATGGAAGTTGATATTTTTAAGCAGATGTTTTTGTTCATGTTTTCTTGTTTGTGTTTGACAACCAGCAGTTGCCAAATATATTCAAGCTCAGTGTGGTTGGCTGTTGCAATGTGTGCCACTTAACAAGCTCTTATCAAGGGACTAAAATATGAAGTAATATGAAAACGCTTTATGAAAATAATTCTTTATTACATCTGAGTATTTTCTATCAGGACCCCCCTGAATTCTGGTGGATTACTGTAGTGCTAGTAAAGTAGAACCAAAATAAACCCTACAGTTCCTTCTAGTGTATGCAAAGCTATTGCCAGTATCTCTTCCTTCTTTCTTTCTTTCTCTCTTTCTTTCTTTCTCTCTTTCTTTCTCTCTTTCTTTCTTTCTCCTTTCTTTCTCTTTCTTTCTTTCTCTTTCTTTCTTTCTCTTTCTTTCTTTCTCTTTCTTTCTTTCTCTTTCTTTCTTTCTCTTTCTTTCTTTCTCTTTCTTTCTTTCTCTTTCTTTCTTTCTCTTTCTTTCTTTCTCTTTCTTTCTTTCTCTTTCTTTCTTTCTCTTTCTTTCTTTCTCTTTCTTTCTTTCTCTTTCTTTCTTTCTCTTTCTTTCTTTCTCTTTCTTTCTTTCTCTTTCTTTCTTTCTCTTTCTTTCTTTCTTTCTTTCATCTTGCTGACATTCACTGCTGTATCTTATGGAAACTGTTGAATGCCACATGTGTTTCTCTGGGCTTGTTAATAGAATTTGTGCTTTCTTGTGTTGAATTTTATTAGCCATATAGACTTCAAAATTCTCCTTTAGAGAAACTGATGGGGAAGTGAAGGGAGCGCTGAAGATTTAGTGTAACACTTCTGCAGAGGGTTGCATAGTGGTGTTAAATACTGTGAAAGAACTGGACTGTGGCCTGAGGGGTGCCTCTCCATTCACAGGAGCTGTTCTGAGTCTTGGGACCATCTTTTTGCTCAGTGTTAAGCACTGGGATGCTGCGTGTCCAGACTTGCAACACTAGTGAATTTCCAGATGTTGATGATGTTTCACAGAAACTTCATTTTCATAATTATTTTAAGGGTTTTTCACACATATTTGCTGGAGGTCAGTCTTTGAGCAGGCTGTTCTCCCTCTTGCAGTGGAAGGCTGTCTGTCCTTCTGGGAAGGACTGCATGACAGACCTGTTGTAGCCACGCAGCGTGTCTTGCGAGCACCAAGCTTGCAGCAAATGGCCCGGTTGCACAGAGGGGCAGTGACCAGCCACCCTTCTGGGAACATTAGACTTCAGTGGTTGTCCTGAAAACAGCAGCTTTCACTAGCTGACCTGTGCTTGTGTAGTAAGCCTTGTGCTTCTGTGAGAGCCGCACAACTGGCTTGTGCGTGGGCCATGAGGGACTGCAAGAAGGATCGTCGCAGAAAGTGGGCTGCTGGGTTGTATAACTGCTCTGAAGCCTGCTCTGTTGGTGCGCCCAAATCCTGCCTGGCGTCTGCTCTGGGGGTGGGGTGCAAGCTGAATTGGGTGGCCTAGTGGGCTGCATGCAGGTGGAGCATTGCTGTTGTAAAACACGTTTTGCTGCTCCTTGAAATGTGATTTTATTTCATTTTTTAAAATATCTTATTTGTGATGGATCTTCTAATGGCAGGTGGCAATTGTGTTTGCTTTCTTTATGCTACTGTGTTGTATAGAGTAATGGCTTCTGATGGGGGCAATTTTACTTCTTTTTAAGAAGTAAAGTATGCACGTAAAGTCGGCTGAAAATCAAGAAGGATGGCCACCTGTAAAAATAGCCTTGAATAAAGAGGGATGACCTCTTGTTCCTGCCATTCTCAACTCCAAAGCAGATCACAAACACGTACACCAGAAGACAGTAATGCAGCTTGGGTGATACTTTGATTTGCCTTTCTTAGAACCTGTTTCAAGTTCCAAAAATAAAGATTGAGTCTTAAGCTTTAAAAAAAACCCAAACCAAACTAAATCAAACAACAAACCCCCCTAAATTTTACTGTGCCTGGGGAAATAGGGAATAAGTTTCTATTAACTGTAAAGGAAACATTAATTATTCAGACTATTGGAAACACTTTTCAAAAGTAGACCTTGAAGCTTCGTAGAGGAAGAAACCTTAGAATGGACTAAATAATTCTGGTGTGTATTTTAAGCAAAATACTAAAACCAGAGTCTTTACGTAGAAAAGAGCTTGAACGGATGTCTGTTGTGTATGAATTATGGAGTTGTAGGCCTTATGGACATAGCACATGACTGCTTTATGCTCATGGTTATGGCTTCCAAATCAGCTAGCAGCAGTAATTTCTCACACTCCTAGACTAAATGTCTTCTTTTTGTTTGTAGATATGGCTCGTGGACAGCAGAAGATTCAGTCGCAGCAGAAAAATGCCAAAAAGCAAGCTGAGCAAAAAAAGAAACAAGGACATGATCAGAAGGCTGCAGCCAAGGCTGCCTTGATATATACCTGCACTGTCTGTAGGGTAAGAGGAACTGGAGACAAAGTATTATTCTAGGCAGGTCTGCCACCCAGCCTAGAGCAGAATTTTTGGAGATTATGTAGTAGAAACTAAAATACTTCTTAAGTGGCTGTCTAGCTTGTTGCTGTAAGCATTTGCATCTGTTATGTGAGTTGCTTACAGATTACTCAGCTGTGCTGATAATTGAGATGTGAAAATTTGAGAAGTCATGTACAGATCTGGTTTGGATAGTTGTGTTGCCTTTTGAATTGCAGGGGTCTGCATATGCTGTTATTATGACGTATAGAATGTAAAAAGTGTGAGATCTGTTCAATCTCCAAATGGAAACATGTTTTCTTTTGATGGAATTGACCCTTCTTAGAATCTATGGTTATTGATGTTAATGTAGAGAGGAAAAGTGGCAGTGCCAAAAGCTGTAGTGTAAGTTTGATACACAGTAACTTCTACTGGAATGAATGACAAGAGAGCAGAAGTTTGAGTGCTAATCAGTTTATACTTTCCTTCTGGCTGGTTTTCCTGAATGCGCTCATTTTAGAGCTGAAGGATAAACTTGCCGCTTTCACTTAAATGGTCAGCCCCAGAATAGATTTATCACTTTGAATGTCTTCAGTAAGATTCCAAATTAACGGCTGCTCACTCAAGTACTTGTAACCAGCTCCTCCTCTTGAGAAATCGGGCTGTAGCAGCAATCACTTTGAGCAGTTGATGCCTACAACTGGTCTGAGGTAGCTTGTGCCAAGTAGAGAATCAGGCTGTGCCACATAACTCTTTGGCCTATTGAGAAACAAAAGAAATAGCTTTCATAAACATCCTTTTCAGAATAAAATCTTTATCTTCTATGTGTTGAAAAAGAAAATGGTAAGGAGGTAGGTTTTCTGCCAAACCAACATGTGAAATGTAAGATCTGCAGGGAGACTTCTAGCAAGAATAATACCACTGATGAATGTGCCAAGAGTGTGATGCTAGTGCTTAAAAGCATCTCTCTGAAAATCTGAGGTTAAATACTCAATCTGCAACTAAATTAATGATGCTTCTGTCACTAGAATAGTGTCATAGGGAATACAATTTGCTTCAGGAAAAAAGAAAATAAAATAATGGGGAGTACAGGTTTTATAGTATTATTTAACTCTTGTACTGTGCATAAAGTCAAATGTCTCTCTTTAATCAGACACAAATGCCGGATCCCAAGACCTTCAAACAGCACTTTGAAAGCAAGCATCCTAAGACTCCACTTCCTCCAGAATTGGCTGATGTTCAGGCGTAAAGTTGTCTACAGGTCATTACCTTAATTTTTAAATGCTTGTATGAGAGGTGTATTATGAATAATTTTTTTACCCCCAACAACTGAGACTTAAAACTTGCTTAATTTCCTTTAATATGAAAATTAACTATAGGTTAAAGTTATACCCTGGAACTGTTCCACAGGAGAAGCAAGCTAATACTTACATAGGTGAAATGGCTGTGACTTGTTACTATGCATGGAGGTTGCTTTAAAAGGGATTAATATTATTTCAAATGGTCATCCTTAGAGTGTGGGGATACTTTATTATTTAGGTCTTGCTTTGAAATGTTAGTTTTGCTTTGAACAAAAGACATATGCTATACACAGTCAGTCTGTTGCTACAAAAACATATAATGGAAATAGTTGTTTAGTATATTTCCAACAATTGAGCCTTTTTGTTCCTGAAGTTATGCAAGTGAATGCAGATTCTTCTGCATTCAAGTATAAAACTTGACCTCTGTGTTAACTATAGAAGAGATTTTCCAATAGCCAGTTGTTAGACTGTGACTGAAAGCCATTATAATAAAAGGCTAAAATGAGGTAAAAAGTAGTAGTATGTTATTTCATTCACATAAAGGTAAACAGCATTGTGTGGCAGCTTAACTGAGTTATTCTTGTTTTTTATAGGTGAAATCATGGCACCTATTGACTCTTCTACTGTCAGACCTTACATAACAAACCTGCAGCTGCTTTTCTAAAACTGTTGATCAGCAAAAATGAAGGGGCTACAGAAACATTCATATTTTTATGCTGTTCCCTCTTGGGCTTCATGCAAAGACAATTCTGTGTAAATGTACAGTTGTGCCCTATTTGGAAATCCTGAAAAATCAGTCCATACTTGTTATAAAAAATTTTTTACAATTGTAATTATATTGATGTTCATATTGTGTAAAATAACTCATTTAATAAAGTAGTACTTTGATTTTACAGTATCACAGATTAAATCCTTGTAGAAGTTCTGTTTCAACTTTCTGCATTTTCTGCCTTATACAAGAATAAAAAAGACAAAGTGGAATTTTCCCCATCCTGCCAAAACATGAGCAGTATCATTCCACTGAAAGTAATGTACATTACAGTAAATTAATCTTAAGTGAAGAGGGAAGCTGCTCAGATTTACTGTTCAGTCTGCTGCCTGCTTGAGCCCAGTCACTAATGGTCACTTTTTTGGCTCAGGGTGCAGCAGACTCCCCAGAAGCTGCATGAGAATCACGAGGCTTCCTTCTATATTTTTGTCCTGTACTGGAGTCTAATATGGCAAGCCATTTCAAATGGGATTCCTTTACTGTGAGGGATCGTGGTGCTTGAAGTCGTGCACTGGAGAGACTCTTGTTACCCTTTCTACTTGGTAGATGGCTGAGGAAGCTGAGAGGTGGCAGGATTGTATGCTGGCTTGAGAAATGCTCTCAGATAATAGGTTAAAGCAACGCTGCTCTTAGTTCAAAAATTGATTTGAAAAGTTGCTTAATGATATTTTGAGCAGTCAGCTACACATTTTCCCCCTCAAATGCGTTTGGTTATTTCAATAGCAACTCTTCAAGAAATATGCAGAATAGTCAGCCATTAATAACCTTTCTTCACAACCAGCTCAAAATAAGCCTGTTGGAAAAGAGCCAAAGTAACTATAATAATATGGCTGCTTTAAGGAAGTGGATGTGATTAAAGTTGCATTGACAAGAAAAAGGCTGGATAATAACTCTCTGGCCAAGAACATTTGAGCAGCTAAACATAATTACCCTTAGAGTGTTCTGGGCTCAGTTCTAATCCCAGATGTACAGCACAGAAGCAGTGGAGAAACATCTGAATTGTGCTAGAAGGTTTGCTATACAAAGTCCCATCTTTGGCATTTGGAGGGGGCTTATTAGAAGTTTTAGTTTTGACCTTGCAGTAAGAAGCAGTACTAGAATTGCTGTGATTTACTGAGGTTACAGCAGATGTAAAAACTGTCCAAGTAAGTAACCCTTGCTATGCAGTAGGACTGTACATCTGACCGTCAAATGGTTTCCTAAAATCTAGGACCATAGTCTCAAAGACTCATTCACTTAAAAGGATGCACTTGGTATTTTATTATATAAAGTCAAAGCCTTTGTCTTTGTCCACTCATTTGCTTTTTATTGAACTACTTCTGCGAGACTTAGCTTCCTGTCCTCTTTGCTGTGACAGTATCTCTGTAAATACTTACTTTGGCATAAAGTCTCTCTGTATTATAGTCACTCCAGGATAACCTGTATACCACTTAACTTTTATAGATAGTGTTCTCCTCTGAGAGTAATCCACTACTGCACTTGTACACCTGACATCAGAATGTAATGCTCCATTTATTTTTCTTTAATATTATCAATACAGATACCCTGACAAACTGGCTCCCACAAGGCAAGAAATCTGCTCTCGACCTTTATGCTGTATGGGGGAGAGGTACTTAAATGTTCTGATGCTGTAGTCTAAAAATACGCAGAGTGCAAATGGATAAAGATGTTTCTTGCACTGATTGATATTTGGTTGTCTGGTTTTACTTTGGAAAATGTTCAGGGATGTATTCCTATAGCTTGGTCCTGAGGTGAAGTATATGTACTATTCTTTCAGTTTAGATTGTGTAGCATTAAATAAAATGATTTTGTTTTGTAAACAGTCTCTCTCAATGAACAATGAAGAGCTGGAAAGGTGCATCACTAGTGGAGTGGTTAACTTTGGTCAGAATTGTATTTCTAAAACTTTATGATGCTTACGTTGAAAATACCTTGTGAAATAATGGAGGGTTTATGTATTAGAAGGCAAGAGTGATCCTCGGTTCAGTAAGATCCCTAGCTACAGTGGCTGCAATCTCAATTACAGAAATAAATGAAAGCTATGACAATTGTTATAAAGGCTTTATGAGCATAGAGGGGATGCTATACTAAATGTGGGAATCGTCCTTATTTACAGTCCCTGCAATACTTGTACATAAAAGGTCAGAGGAGGGACTAGGAGTTCTTCATCATTTCTTCCTGGTTTGAAGGATGGCACCCTGTTACCTGGCTAAAGACACAATTGTGCATTGTAATGTGTCTGATTAAAGAGAATTAAAAAAACCTGAAATGTAGAATGTCATATTTCCTGCCTGTTTTTAAAAACAAGTATTACTGCACTTAAAAATTAATTTCATTGCTGTGGACAGTCCTGGAACTTGAAGCTGTCCAACTTCACAAGAAAGAAAAATAGGCATGGAAAGTTTCCCATGTTCCCTTGAGAAGGATTCATCTTTGTGCAAGGACAGCATTTGGGTAAAGGGTTCTTACGTTGTCAGTCTGGGCATTGGCTGTCACGAATACTTGTGGAGCAACTTTTAAAAGTTATCTTGGATTTTCAGAAGCTAACATGTCTGCTGGAAATCTCTGGCATCTGAAATGGCATTTTAAGCAGGGCTTAAAATGTTCTGGAAAAAGTCTCACTTCAGATCCTACAGTGAAAGCACGTGTGATTATGATGGGCCATCTCAGGGTCTACTGGGCAATCAGGAACAGTTTTGCAATTTGTGTTGCTAAGGTTTGGGCTGCTTTCTGTACCTCTGCTTTACCTAGCTCCAAGGGTTTCTAGTTTCTTGCTATCAAAAAGTAGTGTGAAAAATCTGAAATGGAAGTTGAAGACGGTTGCTGCATAGCCTTAAGGAAATAACTGGTTTTGTGCAGTGCTCTTGGGACATCCCTGGAGGCTGTCCCCTTTGGTTATTTGCTGTTGAGCTGAAAACTCTTCAGCTCAAGTAAAGCTAACGACCACAGGCTGTTTGCAAACCACACAGTAATGAAGGAATTTGTAGCATTTCTGTAAACCATATTGAACTTTACCCATTTTGGTAACAAGAGCTGAAATATGGCATTTCTTCTGTCACCCAACACTGGTAGGCTTGAGGTCTTGTTTCCCGTTTTCACAGAAACAAGTTGGGAAGTGTTTGGCTTTACTCGAAGCATGGTCTTCCCCTCGTCTGGCCAGTAAACTTTATTAGTCCTGCAGAATCTACAAAGTAAAGGTCAGCTTGTGTTTCTGTCTGCTCAGCCCCATTCTGCTGTGTATAATTTGGGGGCCTTTGAGTTACCTATTTAGAACCTTAACGGTTTTGCAGTGGACTTTCAATTGAGCCCCAAAACTGTTCATTTGGTCTGGTGTTCAGTATGTGGTTTTCCATACTGTGTAGCATTATCAGCATTATCTGCTCCAGCCCAGACGGTGGGAGGGTGTCAAGTTCTGTCTGTGGAATTTTACTGTTTTGTAAATTATTTGGATTTTTTGTAGTGCATTGTCTATTGTTACGGTTTTTAGATAGAGAAGGCGCAATAGAGACTCGCTGAGGGAGTTGTGTTATCTTGGTAGCTTTCAAAAAATTATGGAATAGATTTGGTGTATATTTTACAGTTCTCTTATATGGCTTTTAAGCGTTGCAGTTTCTGGGAAAGGAGGAATCTAATTGTCCCAACACTTACCTGACAGGAGTCTGTTCAAGCAGTGTCTGAGCTTTTTCAGGAAATATGGCACAGCTTTCCTCTGAAAAATACTGTCCATTAAATATATAAACCTAAGGCCCATACAGCACTTTGATGGCACAGCAAACATGTTTGTGTGTTCTCTGTTCTTACCTGTAACAAAATCACAGTGTGCAAAACATCACTAAATGCTGGAGACCTGTCAGGGGAGTAAGGACTCAGGGGAATCTCAAAAAGTCCATCTTGCTCTGAGATTGGATCAAATCTGCCAAGACTGCAACTAGCACATGTTTCTCTGTCTCTTAAAAGCTTCCAACAGAAGGGATCCCGTGACCATGCAAGCAGTGTGTACCGCTGCTGAGCCGTACCGCCAGAGCGTTGTCACAGCAGGAGTTGGTCCTTGCGAGTTCAGACAATTACTCATTGTTCTTACTGGTAGTAGATGTGATGAACAGTGCCCTCCATTGAACATCGCTGTCATGTTCTCCTGCTGATCTTCTCTTTTAAGTGAACCCAGGTAACTGAATCACTCTTAATAGGTCCCATCTCCTAGGTCTAGCGATGGTTGGTGTTCATCTCTGGATCCTCTCCAGTTTGGCATTTAAATCATGTGGTCCAAAATGTGACCCAGAGTGCTGGCTGAGGCTAGTGCAGCATAGCTGGCACAATTAACTTGTGGCATTTGCATACATTAGTACCGTTAACACTCACTGGAATTATATTTGCCTTTTTGCAACAGCATCACATTGACTTGCATTCGGTTTCTGGTCTGCAAACATCCTGGGTCCATTTCAGTACCACTGACAATCTCCATGTTGTGTCTATGTATTTAGTGGGTCTCAGACCAAATTTATCAAGGTAGCAGCATTCTAGACCTGTCTCCTGTGCAGTTCTTTCAAATATGGCATCATGGGGAAGTCTTGCGGATGTCCTCTTTTACTCTGTAGTCTAGATTGTTCCTGAGCACATTGAATGGGATAGATCCCAGGCAAAGCCTTGCAGGCCCCTGCTTGAGTATCTTCCCAGATTCCCAGTAAGCCCTTGGTAATTGCTTTTTGAGAGCGTTTTGTACTGCTGTGATTCTCCTTATGCTCTGTATGGATTGGAACCCCATATTTCGCCTGCGAGGACTTCACAGAATGACAGCGTCAAAGGCCTTTACAGCAAGAGGAGATTTAGGATCCTGTGTGCCCGTGGCCATGAGACCAGTTTTCACAATGGATGGTGCTGGGGTACGGGATACTTTGTTCCTGGCAAATCCACGTTGGCTGGCTGTTGCTGTGTTACTTTCCCATATGCATTTACAAATAGGATTTTATTAAAATTCTTCTAGCCTTTTTCCAGGTTTGGGTTGACTGACAGTTTCATTTTCAATTCCCTGTGCTTGTCCCACTGCTCTCTTGAACTCTTTTCTGTGCTCTGTGAGTTCTCAAAGAGCAACACTTGTGGTCCACACTGATGTATCTTCTGTCTTCTTGGTGTCTTCCCTTTCC